TCCTCCCTTTCTTCCGCCATCTTCCCCCACCCCCCTCTCCTTCTCTCTTTTCGTGTACCTCATCTCCCCTCCCCGTGTGGTTTCCCTCCCTCTCCCCTTACTCCTTTTCTTTTCCTTCCTTCCCTTCCTTCGTGAGTCTCCTCTCTCTATCTCCCTATTTTCTCCCATCCCCCATATCCCGTCCTACGTTAGTCTTTTTTTCTCCTCTCTCTCTCTCTCTCTCTCTCTCTCTCTCTCTCTCTCTCTCTCTCTCTCTCTCTCTCTCTCTCTCTCTCTCTCTCTCTCTCTCTCTCTCTCCTTTCTTTTGCTCTCCAACACATACTTCCTTACTCCCTCTTCTTACAAGACATCAAGGGGCTTACGAGACCACCATCGCCAGAGGCAGATAGGATGAGTGTGTGTGTGTGTGTGTGTGTGTTCGTGTGTGTGTGTGTGTGTTCGTGTGTGTGTATGTGTGTTTGTATGTGAGTAAGTGTGTGCGGGCGCGTGTGTGTATACGTATGTGTGTGTATGATTATATGTGTATATATGCTTATATGTACATGTATGTGTATGTGTACGTGTATGTGTATGTGTATGTGCGTGTGCGTGTACGTGTATGTGTATGTGTATGTGCGTGTGCGTGTGTGTTGTGTGTGTGATGAGCAAAAATATATATCAACTGTCCCCTAACTATTTACTCCCTCTGACTCTATGAGCAAGTGTGACAAATTTCGACGGCATCTTAGAATTTCCTTTTCTGTTCCTCTCTTGGCACTGCCTCTACGTCTGCACGTGGCACTCGGAATGCCGCGGTCCGCGGCCCGACGTCTCTGAGGCGACCCCCCACTCAGGCACACGCACACACACACACACACACACACACACACACACACACACACACACACACACACACACACACACACACACACACACACACACACACACACATACACACACAGGCACAGACACGTACCTTACAAATAAATCCATGCCTACACCCACAGGTAATCCGTCCACACTCACCCCAACCTCTACACCCAAACCTGTATTCCTTCCCCGGATACACCCATCTTTACCCTACCTTCGCAAACCATTCACCTTATTTCACCAGCCTCAACCCCAACAAATACCCCTCTCACACAACCAATCCCCCCACACTTTTACCCCCAACCCCACAGCAACACCTTCTCCCTGCACCCTTCCCCACACCCAAATCAACCCTCAAAATCTACACCTACAAACCCTTCTTAGCCCACACCCCCACAAAGATACCACCAGCCCACAGGCCTTTCTTCTTACCCCACCTCACTCCCTCTACCCACAACTCGTTCACTCTTCCCCCCCCCCCCCCAGCCTCCACACAGCCTTCACCTCCCGCCACACCCCACCCGTACACTCACCCTTCCCCACACACACCTATTTTCACATCTACACCCACAGTCTTCACCCTCACCCCCTCCCACAGACCCTACACCCTCCTCTCTACTTCCGCACTTATCCCCCCCCCCACAGATCCTCCCCCCCCCCTACATCCGCATCTATACCCACCACCAACCCCAACCGACCCTACGCCCACCCTCTATCCACACCTACCCCCACAGCCCACAACCCATCCCCCCTTCCCCACACGCCCTCACAAACATCGATTCATTCCCTCGCACCTCCACTAAGTACTGTATTCGGGACATTTCCATCCCTTAATGGGCTCCGTAAGGGCGATGCTTCGAAATCATTACTCTTTCCGATGACACTTAATCACATTTCGTGCTAAAGATCATTAGGACAGTCATTAGGACCACTTCCTTGCTTCTGTGTCAAAAAGTCGGTACTTGTAACCGCTGTCATTACTTCGGGCACTGTTGGTACTGTTGGCTGGTATTTCCTCGGTTACTATTGGCACTGATGGTCCGTACTTCCGGCTGACAATTCTGGTTCTGTTGGTATTTCCAAATGGCAGTATTGGTTCTCTTGACTGGCACTGTTTGTACTATAGGCATTTCCCTATGACAGTTGGTAGTTCTAACAGGTACTGTTGGCACATCTGAATATCACTGTTGGTATATCTGAATGTCACTGTTGACACTTCCGAATGTCTGCGTTGACACTTCCGGATGACATTTTTGGCACTGTTCATACTTCCGACTGGCACTGTTGGCACTGGAACTGTCACTAATGGTACTGGCGATGCTTCCGACTGTTGCTGCTGGTACGTTTGACACTCTCAGAACTTCCAACTAACACCAACTAGCACTGGTGATAAAATCCCTTGCACTTTAGAACACAGGGCGATAACACAAATAGTTCCGTTCCCATAACTAAGAATGATAATAGATATATTAAAAAAAGGAAAAGAAAGGCATAAATCCTCTCCGCCAAAGTAAACATTCCTATTACTCTCCCCCCCTCTCACTCTCTCTCTCTCTCTCTCTCCTCTCTCTCTCTCTCTCTCTCTCTCTCTCTCTCTCTCTCTCTCTCTCTCTCTCTCTCTCTCTCTCTCTCTCTCTCTCTCTCTCTCTCTCTCTCTCTTTCTCTTTCTCTCCATTCATCATATCCCACTCAAAGTTATCGCAATTGTGCCACCCACCACACCCAGTGGCAACACTGCCTGCGACGTGCAAGGTGGCACTACATTTAAACATTCACTTTGATGCCATTCTTTGTCACGCTGTTTGTTGCACCGTCGCTCGGCAAAGCAAGTACATCAAGCACTTGTTTCTGCAATTGCTTTAATTAACACAAACAAATGAGGCTGTACGTCACCCAGGCATAGATTCGGGCGTGTCCGTTCGCCTCCTGCAAATGGGCGCGAAAGGAAAAGAGAGAAATGAGAAAGAAGAGGGAAAGGTGGGGGGAAAAAGGGT